CTCCTGCTGGCATGCACGACCCAAGCGGCCAGCTTGATCCAACACTGGTACTCGCAACATCAATCCACGTATTCCAGGTGTGTGCGTGTGGTGCGTGCGTGCGTGCCTGTGTGGTGTGTTGTGCGTGCGTGTGTGTGTGTGTGCGTGCGTGCGTGCGTGCGTGCGTGCAGTGTGTGTGTGTGTGTGTGTGTGATGTGTGTGTCGTGGTGTGTGTGTGTGTGTGTGTGTGTATGTGTGTGTGTGTGTTTTTTAGATTGATTTAGACGTGATTTAGTTTGCAGTGGCGTTGCATGTTGCATGTGTATATAAAAAATAAGTTTTGATAAGAGATGCTTAATAATATGCTTTCTATAGTATTCTGATATTACAGGTGGGAGAAATATCGACCCGTGTTTTTTCGCGACTGCCCGAGTAAGCAAGACTCAGATCTCAGGAGGACTTTGGCACAGCCCGTGGGCACATGAGATTCTGCAGGATATATACTGCACTGGTACGCTTAGTTTACGCAGGCTGGGTTAGCAGACCGGTGGGATGTCTTGTGTTTACAGGGGGCCAGCCATGAGCTGAAGGATGTAACGGTAAAAGTATGGATGTAGTGATAATGTATGTAGGCACACACAACACACGCGCGCACACGCACCCGCACGCACAAGTCACGCACGCACGCCACGCACACATGCACACACACTCGCACGCACGCACACACACACCACAACACACGCACACATCCCACACACACACACGCGCACGCACGCAGCGCACGCACGCACGCACGCTACGCACGCACACACACACGCACGCAGCACGCACGCACAGCAGCACGCACGCACGCACGCGACGCACGCACGGCCACGCACGCGCCACGCATCCACACTCGCACGCACAACACACACACACACACGACGAGCCGCGCCACCACAGGACACGCACAGCAACGCACACGCACGCGACGCACTGCACGCACGCACTGCAGGCACGCACGCATAACACCACCACACACAACCGTCCCACACACACATCACACACACACACAGCACACATCACACACACCCCTGTCCTCTCGCGACTTTCACGATCCACCTCCCGCACTCTCGGCAGGTTGTTGCCAGGGACAAGGAATACATCGAAGAGCTCGCCGAGTGAAGTAACCGGCATAATACGCCGGCCGGCTATCGTCAGCGGTTTCAAGACCGCGCGTTCCGCCATCAAACGAGACCACTCGGTCAGATATTCGCTTGAAGAGCTTTCGATCGCTCGAGCAGAGCACGTACGACCTGACCGTAAGTGTCGCCATGCTAACGATGTATATCGGTTACGTAGTTACCTGTGTGTGTCTGCTGTGTGTAGCTATATCCATGCCACATGTGTATATGGTGATTCCTCTAAAATTATAAATTTATTATTTTATATATGTCATATGTGTGGTGCGTGCGTGCGCAGCGCAGCGCGCGTGTGTGTGTGTGTGTAGTATGTGTGTGTGTGTGTAATTTCAGGAAGTAAAAAATCACAACTTATTAATTACTCCTGATTAATATATATATATATATAATATAATATAATATATGTGTATATGTATATATAATATATATATATATATAAAATAAATATCTCATATTTGACGGGGCATACAAAGTTTTGTAGAACTATCTGAACTAGAATCAAATATATATATATATACTAATATATAAATACATATCATAATATGAATATATAGTAGCATATATATATATATATTATAATATATATATATATATACATAGCACATATATAATATGGTCTGCGTTGGGGACAGCGGTTGCTGTACGTTTTGCCGGCGCGATGGCAGTTCTCGCGACAACAAGCAGCAGCAGTGGCAGCGGAACAGCGATGCACGTTCCGCTTGTTCTCGCCAGGTGACGGCCGGAGGCGATCCTTCCGAACGCGAGCACGGCGAATCCCCCCCTGGCTGGCCACAGTGCACGTTCACGATCACCCATGCCTGGACGTGAACCAACCCACGGCCCCGTGTTCCAGCTGTCGGCTACGAGCTCGCGGCTCGCGGCACGAAACGAGCTCGTGTGGTCCAGACGGTGATGACGGGCTGGAGGCTGATCGACCTCGACGAAGGGAGAGAACGGCAGCCGTGCGCTAACAATATGATTCGTAGTGACACGTTTATCGATCGATTTAAATGATTTATCTAAACTTAATTTGTATTATTGTCATGTGGGTTTTTAATTAACCTTTGTTCGGACTGGTTATTTATTTATTATTTGTTTTATTTACTGTGGGCTCTACATATGTTCGAGTGAGCGCTTTCGATCGATTTAAATGATTTAGCTAAACCTTTAATTTGTATTATTGTCATGTGGGTATTAATTTTATTTTTATTCCACGGGTATTTAAATTGTGTTAGTTATTTGTATTATTGTCATGTGGTTTAATTTAAATTTTATTCCGCGGTTTATTATATTTATTTATTTGTTTATTTTAGTTATTTATATTGAAGTTAAATGTTATTTTGAATCTTTTATCTCTATTAGATGAATTTTTATTTGGACACAACAACATTTTGGTGTTATTGTTATTCCCTTAAACCTAAAATTTCAGTGTTTAAACAGTAAGAGGGAAGTGATGTGTTCAGAGAGAGAGAGAGAGATGAGAGAGATGAGAGAGAGGTGTTGTTGTGTTGTGTTGTGTGCGTGTGAGACAGAGAGAGAGAGAGAACCAGAGAGGGAGTGTGTATGTGTCAGAGAGAGAGAGAGAGAAGAGAGAGAGAGAGAGAGAGAGAGAAAGAGAGAGAGAGAGAGAGGTGCGCGCGTGTGTAATGCGCAGTGGAGAGAGAGAGGGGCGTGCGTGTTTGTGTTGTGTGTGGGACGGAGAGAGAGAGAGAGAGAAGAGAGGGAGAGAGAAGGTGTGCGGTGTATTGCTGTTGTGGCGTCGTGTGTGTGTGAGAGAGAGGGTGAGGGGGGGGGTGTGGGTGTGGGTTGTGTGGGGGAGGGGGGGGGAGTGTGTATGTGGTCAGAGAGAGAGAGAGAGAGAGGAGAGCGTGTGCGGCGCGCAGCGCGTGTGTGGTGTGTGTGTGAGAGAGAGATGAGAGAGAGGATGAGAAACCAAAAGAGAGAGTGTTTGAGGGGAAACTAAAACGTTGGCACACCTGAGCAAAAAGCCGTTTGGCCAACGTTGGCAAAAGTGTCGTTGGGTCCAACGTGGCTAATATGACGTTGGCCAACGTGGGCAATATGACGTTGGGCCACGTTGACAATATACGTTGGGCCAACGTGGCAATTGACGTTGGGCCAACGTTTGACAATATGACGTTGGGCACCGTTGGCGAGTATGATCGTTGGGCCAACGTTGCAATATGACGTTGGCCAACGTTGGCAATATGACGTTGGGCAAGTTGACAATTGACGTTGGGCCAACGTGGCAGTATGAACGTTGGGCCAACGTTGGCAATATGACGTTGGCCAACGTTGGGCCAACGTCCACCCAACGAGCAAAAAATCGCGTTGGGCCAACGTTGGGCAGCCAACGGTGGCCCCAACAGTTGGCATCGGCTGTGAAGACAGCCGTTGGGCCCAACGTTGGCCCAAACGTCAGCATGTTTCATCTGGGGATTGCATTCAATGTCAGCCCGCTCGTGATATTTATTTCATGGTCTAAAGTCATATGTCCCGGTTCCCGTAGTTAGTTTTAAAGTAAATGCTCAATGAGTTGAGACAAATTCTGGATTGTTCAAGGAGGGCTTAAAAACTCTTACCACACTCATCCCTACCTTGTGAAAATGCTCAATTTAACAGTGAGTCGCGATAGTATTTTAGAGTGGACGAGAACAATGGAGATGTCATTCTGAAGGAATCCTTTATCACAGTCCCGGTAAGTGTGCGTAAAACACAATAAAACATCTGTGTCATTCTAACCTACCTACCTACCTACCTACTTACTTAACGTACTTACCTACCTACCTAGCTAACATACCTGACTACCCGCCTACCTACGCTACCATATACCCAGTGGCCGGATTAACCAATTTAGACAGATTAGAAGCACGTGCTTAGGGCACCACGGGCCAAAGGGGCACCACAAAGTTGGGAAAAGGTGAAAGAAAAAAAAACGAATAAAAGATTTGTTAACTTCCGCAGGTGTTACGCACAAAGGGCCCCCAACAATAGCAATACAATACAAGGGGCCCCTAAATGCCACCCAACAAGGTGGCTAATTCCCAATTATCAAATGAAAGGGAAAGGTATGCAAAAGACTTTGGCGACCACCCATTGATGCTTATCCAGCGATACACTGAAACAACTAACGTTTGTCTACGCAGAGCTTCAGCAGTTCGCATTCATGATGTTCTTATAAGTTTAAAAGCAAAAAAAAACATCTTTCATCTCACCATGAACTTTACAAACACTAGAAGACAAACTAGAGAAGTGGCTTTTTCCAATGTTGAAATTGCCTTAAGAATAATTTTTAAGCATTAATGGTCACCAACTGCACAACAGAGCAGGTCTTTCTCACAATCTGAAACGTGTAAAAAAAAACACGAAATTAGATTGACTCGTAGTCAGGAATGAAGGTGTAATGCATGTACGCTCAAAATTGCCATCAAATAACCATCTCCTGCGATCTACATCTTTATAAAGCATTTCTGAGGGAGGACCCCATACCCCCCGCTGTTTATCAGCAACACCCTCGCTGTGAAATCCTAGACAATAAATTTTTGTACCTACTGCAACGCTGCATCGTATTCTGGTCAACAGGTACAATCTAAAATGACCTGGGTGCAGTGCTGGAAGAGGAGAGGGCAAGCCAAGATTGTACAAGTGCTTAGGGCAACCAAGTGGCCTTGAATCTGCCACCTGCCTATACCCATACCTACCTACCTACCTAGCCTAACCTACCTACCTATCTACTCTACCGTACCCTACCATACCTACCTACCTACCTACCTACCTACCTAACCTACCTACTTACCTACCTAGCGCTACCACCTACCTACCTAACCGCTACCTCCCTACCTACCTACGCTAACCTACTACCTACCTACCTACACGCTAACCTACCTACCTACCTCCACCACCTACCTACCTACCTACACCCTACCCCTACCCTACCTACCCTACCTAGCCTACCTACCTACCCTCCTACCTACCCACCATCCCAGTATATACGGCTAACCTACGTATTACCTAATGTACTCACCTAACCTGCCTTCCTATCTACCAGTATCATCTTTCCTCTTGCCTGTAGCCTTCCGGTTACGTTGTCTGAGTGTTGTCGATTTAAAAAAAAAGATTCAGCGAGAAATACGCGCACCTGAAGTCATGACACATGGTCTTATTTACATTCGTTCTTTATTCTCTATTGTGGTTGTGTGGTTTTAACTGAAATTACAAAGAAAAATATGCCAAGCGTTAAACATTAACTTGATTACATGAAAACAAGTCTTGCATGCGTAGCAAACAAACCGTTATAATAATTTAACACAAACTGAAAGTATTATATGTATTACTTACATCGCTGAGATTCAACGTTTGCGCATCACGCAGGCACAGACGCAGCAGATCGCTGTGCAGGCGACCGACCAAGGTCCGGCCGACCGTCCGACCGCGCCAGGCTACTGTGAAGTCACGATCTCCGTCTACGACCCCACGGGAGGCAAGCTGCCGCCCGTCTGGATCGACACGCCCGCGCAGCCAATCGCGCTCGAGGAGAACGTGCCGCTGCGGGATGCTGTCTTGCAGCTGTCCGTCGACGCGCGCGGCAACGTCGAGTTTCCCGAGCTGTACGGTGAGTGGTGGCGCCCCCACGCGGCAACGTAGCCGGGACAAGCCCGCTTCTTCTAACCTTGAACGATGAACTTTAACCTAGCTCTTAATCGGACGTTTTTTCCGACGATCTGTCGTTGTGCGAGACTGAGCACGGCTGTCCTGTCGTCGTGTCGAAACGCCATTTCTGTCCGATCGACAACCCCTGACCTTGCTGACTGACCTTGACCCGTGTCGACCTCACTGACCTTGACTTGTGTCGGCCTCGCTGACCTTGACCCGTGTCGACCTCGCTGACTTTGACCTGTGTCGACCTCGCTGACCTTGACCTGTGTCGACCTTGCTGACCTTGACCTGTATCGACCTTGCTGACCTTGACCCGTGTCGACCTTGCTGACGTTGACCTGTGTCGACCTTGCAGGCGCGATCACGAACACGAACGCCGATCATCAGTTCCGCTTCACACCTGACGACAACAAGGATTACTCCGGCACGCTGCGCGTCGAGGCCAACACCCTCGACTACAACACCGTCAACGTCTACCAGGTGCCCGTGAGGGCCTACGACACGGTAGGTTCCCCCATGGCAGGGTATGTTCACACAGTAGGTTCCCCCATGGCAGGGTATGTTCACACAGTAGGTTCCCCCATGGCAGGGTATGTTCACACAGTAGGTTCCCCCATGGCAGGGTATATTTACATGGTAGGTTCCCCCATGGCAGGGTATGTTCACCGTGGAACTGCGGCTCATGGATGTCCATGTCGACGAGGGTATGCATTCGGTATGAGTAGTCCGTCTTGCAGCTTGGACTCTGCTGTCGGCGACAACAAAACGGAACAACGTCCATACTATCCGCGACAGTGCCTTACGCTTGCAATTCATTGTCATTCATTGCTGTCCAGTGGCCACAGTCAGGGACCAGCCACGTCTCGGCTGCCCATACAAAGTAATGAGACGGAAGCAAACAATGCGCTGTGTGTAACTACAGCGAACTGCAGCACTGCCATGTTACGGGCGTGTTAGTGGTGATGCTGTATTGCCACGTGTTGGAACCTGACGTCTACCTCGGCCGTCTCTGCTGCCGGTTAACCAATCTGGAGGGTATATAGGCCATGTGAACAGAGCTGGCACAAAGTCACCATGTCACTGCGCTGATCTTATCCCATGTCATGTGGGGGGAACCTACGAGGCGAGCAACACCTACCGTGCTCGCACGGTCTCAGTGAATCTACGGCTGACATGCCGAGGCAATTCCTTACCCGCATTGCGCAGGGAACCTACGCTCTGTGAGCATACCCTACCCATACGATGAACATTACCTTGCACTGACATGGAGAACAATACTGCGTTGATGCATTAACCATCATTGTGGCGGTCTCGTGTGGAAACCTGACACCCGTTCGTGCGAGAACATACCGCATGGCGCGGCAGGATGAACCTTTACGTGTGAGCCTTACCACGTGATAATGAGGAAGACCGTAACTTGTGCGTGAACATACCCCTGGTCATGGCGGGGAACGCTCTATGGCTTGTGACTAACCTGCCATGGGGAAACCTTACTGGTTGAACATACCTCTCGCTACGAGGGCAAGCCTACTGTTGTGAACATTACTGCCAGTGGGTAGGTAAGAACCCTACTGTGTGAACATACCTTGATGGGAAACCTACTGCCTAGTGACATTACCCTTGCCATGGGCGGAACCTTACTGTTGTGAACATATCCTGCTACGATGTGGAACCTATGTGTAAACATACCCTGCCTACAAGGGAACCGTACTTGTGTGAACATACCCTGCTACGTTAGAACCTGTCTGGTGTAAACATACCCTCTCTGATACGAAGGGAACCTACTGTT